GAGAGAGAGAGAGAGAGAGAGAGAGAGAGAGAGAGAGAGAGAGAGAGAGTCATAAGAGTGGTGTTTTATAGAATAGCAAATTAAATGAACTTCCATGATGAAGCACGGTCATTCTTGCATCGCTGGACAATATAATTAATTAATATAATATAATATAATTACTTGGTTCAATTAAAAAAAAAAGCAGCGCATCAAACTATTCTTAGATGTATCCTACTAAAGTATGTAAACTTAAGGTTACAATTAACGATGTAGTAAGAATTGTATATTTTCACGTGTGTGATATAGGTGTCAAGCCTGTGGAAATGAGGCGAAAACTGAGAGAAATTGTCTATGGAAATGTATGAAGCACAAGATAAAAGTTTTACGCCGCTATGGAGAAATCCTAGTCACACAGAAATGAGAAAAAAAAAAAAGAGAATATGTTAATTATTAGTTATTGTATTTTATTATATTCTATGCAATATTATTGTATACGTAAATGCGTTTCGGCGTCCCGAACTTTTTCTTCGGATTGACTAAAAAGATCATAGTTGCAGGATTTTTGCTTGAAGTATAAAAATACTGAGACAAGAGCATAATCAAGAAGAAAGGAGAAAGAAAGCTATACTATGTTTGTTAACTAGAATAAAGAGAAAGTAGCGAATAATGTTAAAACGAAAGACTTGTTACAGTGAAATTTTACTTTGAACGCATTATATAGAAATATTGTTGCATTTAAAAAGAGAAGAGAAGAGAGAAAGAGCTATTAATGGACATGTAATTTTTGTCCAATTTTAAGAAGTAAATTGTTCTTTTATTGAATGTACATATAGTATAGTACATGTTACAAATCGTTTTCGGTTTGTATTGTGACTACCAAATATCAAAAACTATAAAAAAAAAAAAAACGTACATATACAACAAATATTAATTTACTTTTAATATGCAATTTCCTTCTACGACATTACTTTTCATATTATTTAAAAACAACAGACTATATAATTTATAGCGCAAATTTTATGAACTAACACAAATCGATTATTTCTTTCTTATTATGAAAGAACAGAAAAATTAACATCTACATAATAGGATTCATAGAAGTAGAAGAAATCTTAAATCTGTTATGTGTACATAATTTTAAAAAGAACGTTGAATATACGTTGAAATAATGTTTATACTATTTATTTAACAGTCAGCTTTTATATATATTGGAAATTAGTAGTTAAGTAGATCAGATATGTATATCGGTCTAACTAAATATTTTTGCTATGAACATGATGAGATAAATAAAACATAGTGTGAAATATACGACTAAAAGACCGGAGGGAAACATTTAAATTCTTTGGTTGAACTTGTAATTATCTACCGTTAATTAATTTGCTTGTAAAAATTTGACTTTTATAATTATATTCCAATATATAAGAAGACATATCAAAATTTCTAAAAAAAAGTATCAAATAAAAATTTTCTGTAAACGCGAATATTTTATAAGGAATACACCGAAGACATGGGACTAAGATTATACAATTATATCCGAATTAATTGCATTAAAATAATAAAAGACTAATTTTCAAAATCTTAGAAAAAAGTAGCTTCTTCGT